CCCTCCTCTCCCCGCCTATCAGCTGATCGGCTGGCTCTGAAGAGGCTTGGGGAGGCTTGCTCAGCACCTAAAAAGCCTGCCTATGTGTCTTTGTGCTGAAAAAATCAGCACAACATGCTTTAAAACATGATTTTAAATTGGTTTCATTGAAAAAAAAAGATTTCTAAAGTGCTTTGCAAACTGTTCCCTGCCTTGGTTGTTGTGGGTTTTTCGGGCTTCTTGGCTGTGTTCTGAAGGTGGTTTTTCCTAACGTTTCGCCAGTCTCTGTGGCCGGCATCTTCAGAGGACAGCCGTGAAAGCCTTCGCGAATACATTGTTCCCTGCCTTCCTCCTGGTTTCCTGAACCTAAGGGAAAAAAAGAAAAAAATCCCCCTCTAGTGGCAGAAGGCGGAATAGCAGCTTCCCATTAGTTTCTATGGACGGAAAAGAGCAGATACAGATTAAATGGTTTTCAATGCATTCCTATGGGAAATGCAAATTCGACCTACAAACTTTTCAACTTAAGAACCACCTTCCAATACGGATTAAGTTTGTAAGTCGAGACCCCACTGTACTGTACCTCAGTAAACACTGTTAAGGCAATCAAATGAAGAGATGCAGCCCACCTACTGGAAGAGGAGGCTGGGCAAAAAAATATCTGGCACTGCAGTCAGTGGAAGAGAGGAAAGCCCAGGTTTTGCAGGTCTCCGGGCATAATATACATATACTTACAATGACAATAAATTATTATTGTTGTTGTTGTTGTTATAAGGCGCCATTGTTCCAAAGTTATACTGTTGCATAAGCAGAAGGAGAGGATGTTGGTTTGAAGGCCAGTGTTGCCCAGCTTGCCTGCTTGCTCCCTATACCCAGGGAAAGGCTACCATTCAGGAAGATAATATAGTCTTTGCATGTAAAACTCTTGGGTTCATTCCCACCTTCCTCCAAGAACGGCTGTGGACAAACTCCTGTCTCAAACTCCATCTCCATTTTTTAAAGGTTCATTCAGCAGGTGCTGGGAAAGGAATCTACCTCAGATTCAGGAGAACCAGTGCCAGCAAATCACAGAAGAGTAGAACACAGTTTCCTGTGAATCTGTATACCTGAAGGAAACTTCACTTTAAAGTTTCAAAATGTTTACTTTCATCACAATATAAAATTTACCAAGGAATTTTCTATCAGTTAGAGCAGCGTGGTCAGGGTATGTGTGTAGGGAGTGATAACACCAACTAACTAGGTTGTACTGTATCTTACTGAGCATTTAGAGTTAGTTCCAATTTCTTTTACAGGATACCGATAGCTAAGTACATTAAAGTGATGCATTCATATTGCCTAGGAAAGAGCTCTCCTTGTTTCTCCCAAGAAAAACAAGTATGAAGGCCCAAGAAAAGGGGTTGGCAATTGGAATAAAAAAAGGGAGGAACTTTAGAAATGTCAAAAGCAGAAGGGTCCAAATAGCAACCTGTGGTTTTGGTCTGGGGGGCTTCCCCCCTCCAGCTCTGTTTAATTTTAAAAAATTGTGCTTCTACAGAGGCTCCAAGAGTGGAAAATACAATTTTTTTATTTTAGAGGTTAGATTGGTGGGGACTAGCAGCCATAAAACAGTCTTGAGGGCTACATAAATGTGCTGTGTTCACTGCATTATAGAAGCATCTATACTGAAACTATGTTAACAAATGAGAAGGGACTAAATTATTAAAAATAAATGTAATCATACAAGTTTAGCAGCTACTGCACTCATTAAGATGAATTATATAGATAATACGTAAAGCATGTAGTTCCTCATTTTTTCAATCTACAGAGCTAGAAACAAGCTCAATATAACTCAGCCACAACTCTTCTGAGTAGCTCCTTTTAACTGCTGTAGCCATTAATCTTAAGTCTTTCTATATTAGATGGATTCCAAGTCATGTTTTCCCTCATTTGCTCTAGGTGTCTCTTCCTATCTGTCTTACAGGCAGTTGCTGTGTTTCTCTACTCCATATATAATCAAACTCTCTTGTACTGGATACTTAATACTGGCTTCACATTTACAAGGTACACAACTTCTTTGGATAAATCACTCTTATGCTGGTATACTGTGCAACAAGTATATAAGTATGGACACAGTACCCACTGCTTTAAATGCCCACATAAACATATTTGAGAAAACTGACTAAGCTGGTCTTCCTAATGAGCATTTTACATTTCAGAAACATAGGATGTGCACCCTCCACTAATTTGCTTTGGGAAGTACAAATATAATACTGATGTAATCTTAGCAATTACATCAGCCACATACAGACTGGAATTGCCCATAATCTAAAGTGGAACTTGAAAGGGTTTTGGACTACAGCTTCATCTAACATGGACATCTCTTTTCAACATCTCTGCCTAAATTTCTGCCACCAAAATCATCCATCTATTTTCTTCCTTAGACCACATAATGCCTTCCCATCTTTCCTGTGACCAGCATAATCATCTTGTCTTCATCTGAGGGTCTGTCTGAGAAACAGGAGGATAGGAATGGTTGCCTAAACTGGGAGAGGGGAAATGTCCAACAGAAGAGGAGAAAGGGCTGTCTTGGCTCTCTTTATTTGGGGAAAGGCAGGCTGAAAATAAATGAATGACAGAAAGACTGACTGAATGAGGAGTGGTCCAAAACCAAAGACTATTGTGATAAATAGTAGTACCAATGGTGCCCATAACAGCCTGGGAACAGATATGAGTAGAGACCGCTTTCCTCTGCATGAGTCCCCTGATTGAAGGAAAGATTGTAGGTCATTACATGAACTTGGGCATATAAATGGTCTCAGATTCAAGACCTGTCCTCTCTGGCTTTAATTCTGTAAGATATTGCCTGAAGCTGTTAAGACAGCTTCTGCCAGTCAACGTAGACAACAATAAGCTAATTGGCCAATGGTCTGAGTTTGTATGAGGCAGCTTCTTATGCTTCTGTCTTGATCAATGCATGGTTTCATCTCATCTTCTGCCCTTATTTCATACCATCTTTGCTTTATAGCCTCTGCTCCTCAAGCCTTCCCATCCCCCCCCCAAAAAAATCTTCTACTTCTTTACACTACTCTGGTCATTCTTTCTTGCTCTCCCTTATGCCTAAATCCCACTCAGGATTCCTACAAGACATCTCACTATTGCTTGAAATTTATCAAAACTCATAGTTCTGAGTTAACCTGACACACATAATTGCATCATTTCAGATTCACCCACTGTTATCTTTTCCTCCTTCTTTCCTTCCTTCCTTCCCTTTACTCCCCCTATTCCTTTGTTCTTTCACTTTTTTGTTCAGTCAGGATTGTGTGCGTTCTTTAAGCCAGGGGTGCGTTTGGTTTTTTTTGTTAACCCTGCCCTGTAAAACCCTGCAATTGATGTGCTATATAAATAATAAAAATGAAAGTGGCATTGTTGATCACAGCCAAATTGCAGTAAGACAAAACAGCCTTTGTACAATCATAGTATAGTGCTGATAGATGAAAGTTTATTCCTGTCCCTGGATGGCACAAAGTAATCTAAACGACTACTGAGTCAAAATGGTCAAATGCTGCTATTACCTTCTAATAAATGCACATTGCTGTTGTCTGCAGTAAAGCAAAGGTTACTGATTCAAAATCATAAATCATTCTCTATAGTTATTCCCTTCGCTATGAACTGCTCTGCTCAAACTAAAGTGTGAACCTGACAGAAATGCATGAAATAAAAGACTTTAAGCTTGTCACCTAACACCTGCATTATAGATATCTAAATTCCATCTTTTATTAGATGTATTTGGGCTGCAATCATATTCAGATTTACCAGAGAATAAATCTAATTTAACACACTGGAATATACTTCTATGTATACACGAAGAGGATTGCTCTGTTAGTCAGGCCCCTTTAACACTTGCTCCAGGAAAATGTTTTCCCTGATTTGTTGAACTGACAAAACACAGTATCCCTGACTATTATCTGATAGGCGTTTCTTTTAACTTCAACAGTGGTGTCACACTTTTAATTTGTTACACACAGATGTGCTTACCTTCAAGTATTTTCAGTAACTTCTTCTCAGACATCAGTTCCAGCTGTTGAAGACAAAGTCTTTTGATTTCTTCTATGGAACAACTCTAGGGAAACAGTGTTTTTCAACAGTCAATATGTATACTGTATATTAAATTTTTAAAAGAAAACGGTTCAGACAAATCAAGTACTGCACACAGCTTAAGCCAAACCTACAATTAACTATTGGAAAATAATTTAAATATTTGAAAATAGTTTAAAAATAGAACTATTGTCCTATTTTAAAAATAAAGTCATTTTGCAAAAACATCATGAACAATTTGTTCTTGTTTAGTTTTTAAGTCATGTCTGACTCTTTGTGACCCCATGGACCAGAGTACGCCAGGCCCTCCTGTATTCCACACTCCTGTATTCCACACTCCTGTATTCCACACTCCTGTATTCCACTGAGTGTGGTCAAATTCATGTCAGTAGCTTCGATGACACTGTCCAACCATCTCATCCTGTGTTGTCCCCTTCTCCTGCCTTCACAATTTCCCAACATCAGGGCCTTTTCCAGGGAGTCTTCTCTTCTCATGACATGGCCAAAGGATTGGAGCCTCAGCTTCAGGATCTGTCCTTCCAGTGAGCACTCAGGGTTGATTCCTTCAAAATGGATAGGTTTGTACTCTTTGCAGTCCAGGGGACTCTCAAGAGCCTCCTCCAGCACCACAATTCAAAAGCATCAATTCTTCGGTGGTCAGTCTTCTCACTTCCATACATTGCTACTGGAAAAACCATAGCTTTGACTATGTGGACCTTTGTTGGCAAGGTGATGTCTCTGCTTTTTAAGATGCTGTCTAGGTTTGTCATCACCTTCCTCCCAAGAAGCAGGCATCTTTTAATTTCGTAGCTGCTGCCACCATCTGCAGTGATCACTGAGTCCAAGAAAGTAAAATCTGTCACTGCCTCCATATTTTCCTCTTCGATTTGCCAGGAGGTGATGGGACCAGCGGCCATGATCTTAGTTTTTTTGATGTTGAGCTTCAGACCATTTTGGCACTCTCCTCTTTCACCCTCAATAAGAGGTTCTTTAATTCCTCCTCACTGTCTGCTGTCACAGTGGTATCATCTGCATATCGGAGGTTGTTGATATTTCTTCCGGCATTCTTAATTCCATTTTGGAATTCCTCGTCCAGCCTTTCGCATGATGTATTCTGCATAAATGTTAAATAAGCAGGCAGACAATATACAGCCTTGTCGTACTCCTTTCCCAATTTTGAACCAATCAGTGTTTCCATATTCCGTTCTAACTGTTGCTTCCTGTCCCACATTTACATTTTTCAGGAGATAAATAAGGTGGTCAGGCACCCCCATTTCTTTAAGAACTTGCCATAGTTTGTTGTAGTCCACACTGTCAAAGGCTTTTGCATAGTCAATGAAGCAGAAGTAGATGTTATTCTGGAATTCTCTGACTTTCTCCATAATCCAGCCCATGCTAGCAATTTGCTCTCTAGTTCCTCTCCCCCTTCGAAATCCAGCTTGTACTTCTGGGAATTCTCGGTCCACATACTGCTGAAGCCTACCTTTTGAGTATAATCTTGCTAGCGTGAGAGATCAGTCTTACCCCTTACATGTCTTTTGCAATCTACACTGTCATTTATGGAAGGTCAGCTGCATTAGTCTCTTAAAGCAAAACAATCACACTTATAAACTTGAGTCACAAATTCTGATTAATTTCCCTTGATAAATAGTTCTGGTGGACACTGAAGCCTGTCTGTAGAGAATTAACGCATTACTAGAAAACAGGATATAATGGGAGCTGGCTGGCAGGGCTACCTCTACCATTAGGCAGTGAGGCAGCTGCCTTGGGTAGGAGATTTAGGTATCATTAAAAAAAGAAAATACCTTAATAGCTATTTACTTCATTCTTCTACTTTACTGATAAGGTGAGGAGGGTGCTTGTGTGATTTTTTTGCTTCTTCTTTTTCCAATTTTGTTATTATTCATACAAAAACAAACTGCGACCATTTGGAGATATAACCAATTTTCCCTCTATTTACAGAAGCTCATTCCCCTTCCAAAACTGTGTTGGCACTTGCGAAGGTGCAAAACCCTTCCTTCCCCTTTATTAAATAAAGAAAATCAAATATTCTCCACAGATATCAATAAAAATGATCTTATTTATCAAACCTTTCTTTAACATTAACATTAGCTTATCATTTTAATGGCTAGCTTCCAAAATTCTTTAAACCATTTGTTTCATTTAAAATCATGCTTTATTTTCCAGTTAGTTGCTACCATTAATCTTGCCACTGTTAATTAATTTAAAATTAATTATTTTGTTGTCCAATTCTATTTCTCCTTGTCACATACTGATAAAATTTGCTATCTTAGGACATGCCTCTATATTTAACTTAGCTATTTCATTTATTTCCTTGAAAGCCAACTGCCCAAATTTCTATATAGTCTCACATTCCCACTGCATAGAAAAATAACTACCGTATTTTTTGCTCCATAAGAAGGAACTTCCCCCCCCCCAAATAGTGGGGGAGAAAGTATGTGCGTCTTATGGAACGAATACAGAAAAAAGGGGTTCAACCACCACCACCCAGAAACCCCCTACTGCCATGCTAGGAGGCCTCTGAACTAGCACCAGAGACTGCTTGCTGTTTAGACCCCACCATTCTGCACTGCTGGCTTTCCAGGATCTGCTTCCTGCAGCCCACCTGGAAAACCAGCAAGGCTAACAGGCCTATGGTAGCAGGCAATGACCAAAGAGGAAAAAGTAATTCTAGAAAGAACAGGGGAAACAACAAACATATTCCCCCCTTAAGCAGTTGATTTCCCCGCATTTGGGAAAATCACAGGGATCAACACATCCAGAATGCAATAGATGAGCCTTACCCCAGGAAACCACTTTTACAACAGTGGTATCTCCCATGCCAAGTATGAGTTGGAATGTCCCCTAAACTGGTGGTCCTTAACCTTTGTTACTCAGATGTTTTTGAACTGCAACTCCCAGAAACCCCAGCCA